TTTCCAATAAAAAACAAAACACCAAAACCGAAGATGATAGTGCTCGATTTAGAAGGTAAAACACTGGTTTCGTAACAAAAAAACTCTCCAAACTGTGTGCATTTGAGATTGAGAAAGACCAAGGACTTGCGAAAAAGCGCCTCTATTGATTGCTTACAAAATACAATATAAAATTAAAATAAAAATCAAATTATTTACAAGCAGCATGTTGGCTGAATTTTAGGCTCAGTTCGCGTTTACCATTTACATCAGGTAAGTCAGTTCTCTTAACTAAAAAAGAAAAACTGCATTAAAAGCGCCGATCGGCTCACTTTGGCGCAGCCAGATTCGATTTTGAGCGGCTTTTGAAATGGTTCGGTACTCACACGAAGTTCTTTGTACAAATTCCTGCGGAATCTCTGATTAGTAAACCAGTATCGATATTTCCAGGGCCAATTGAAGTAAAACTCGATCGGCCTCCGGGTGATAAAATCCGGATTGTACCGCAATTCGTCTAAGTAAGAATATGCTCTTCCAAAGACTGGATCGTATTTTAATCTAAGCATTTTGTCTAAAAAACACAGTCTATTTTAACTTGAACACTGGATGAAAGTCATTCTGCTGGCTAAGCTCGCGTTGAAGGGAATCTGCTCAAAGGCAAGATTTGGGTTTGTCTTCAGTACGCGCTTCTTTATGTATCAGATGCGATTTTCCTAATTCTAAGCGAAAATCAGTTCACACAACACACTTACTTGTATGGGATGCGCAAGCAAGAACCTCTTAACCCGCTTATATACACGGCTGAACACTTAGTGTACTGTTTGGGCCAATTATATACTTTTCGACCTATTTTAATAAGGCGACACTAGCAATTTATTGGCCTACAACCAAAATATGCGTCGCTGTCTCAACTATGTAAATTACCTGAACGCGATTTAAACAAACATTAACGAAGGCCGTTAGTCATCAGGAAAATTTGGAAAATCGTGCGCGAGCTGGTGGTGAATCAACATTTTCAAGTAGATTTCGGAAAAAATACGTCGACCAAACGTGTAGGTACGTTTTGCACCCGGGGATTTTTGTTTCGGTTATATTTTCTGCATAAATGCATGGATTTCCTCTTGAAAACCGCAAGTTGCATACAAAACAAGGCGATTTGTTTTGCCGGAGATGAATTTTGCTAAAACGCTCTAGTTTTTGCCTAATGGAGTAAACTTTCATCTTTTTTCGGCCACGCGCACAGTAACTATATTTTCGGGCAATTTTTCAATATTTATTGCAGTTTTTCGGTCAATTCTGTTAATATTTATTTAAAAGCCGCGGTCTACTTGCATAAAAGGACACTGTTTCGTAATGCCAAAGGCAACTTTTTTTCGGGCAACATTTTCGTGGGAAATTTAGTGCGAAACGCAAGTTTCACTTTTACTATTCGGTAAAGAGCAAAATTTAAAAC